GGAAAAGAAAACATGTAAACACATGTAAGGCAGATTTCTGAGGCCTTTCATTATCAATCAATTGGGAACTTCAGCACTAGCGCCGAACTGATATATTTTTCCGTTTCAGAGGGCATGGAGTCTCGGCTGCAGAATTATCGTAAAAGTCATCTCGACTCTTCCGCCATCGCTGGAGTTCTTACAGCCTTCGCAACTATAGCCGCACCCAGGAATAAGGATACGTATGACAGACAATACGTGTTTACCACAGGAACACTAGCCACAGTCGTTCCAAGACGATTGCGCTAATGAAAGAACTGCTCAAGGGATCTCACAAGATATCCTCCGCAGAGACTGCCTGCTTTCTGCACCCTCGATCTTTTCAAAGATGTAATTACAACATGAATCCGGTCATGTGGTATCGTCGCGAAGGCAAGTCGCTCCAAGCGCACATGGATCGACAAGTGTCGTCAACTTCGAGGATGGCAAACTCGAACATGCGTCTCCACTGCCTTTTCTGCTCTGTCGAAGAAAGTGTGTGGGAGAGCCCTCCTGGGGGTATGGGCCGCCCGGTTTTGCGGACTCGATGCAGGCCGCTTTCGGTTACATTCTCGCCCGGCTGGAACCACAAGACCACTATTAACCTGATTGCCTCACCGAAATACAGAACTGCCAATAGAACGTGCACGCTTTCTACCAGAAGTTGTGCACCCTCCAGTTGTAAGCGCATTCGTCAAAAATGGCTTCGCAGAGAAACGAAGCCTTCAGGTGCGATGTTGGTTTGCGAGGTAATCTGCTACAGCAACATAGGACTGGGTCGTACTACGCGAGTGCGTCAACAAACACTTGCGCAAGGATACACTGTCAGTGCTTCTTTCAGTTACCGCTTCTTGAGTACAATTCCATTGCAATGGTGTTGGCTGCCAAGCAGATTGATCGAGACTGTCTCCAGTGCCACATACAAAGCAATGCAGCGGGATCCCCTCTGCATCTCATCGTCCTTCTGATGCACAATGTCTTGCATCGCACAGAATGATATGAGATAGAGATGCTGCCATTTACGAAGAACACTGCTGGCTTTCGTCATACGTGCAGGCATCATGAACTCAAAACTGGGCAATCCTGCAGCTTTAAGAGCCTCCGTATTGAAAGCCTTGCTAAGATTCGTTGATCACTGCGTTAGAATCACGCCCGTATACATTCCAATCCCATAAAGTGGGGAGGCATGTTCGCCCTGGAAATATGGTGCCCTATCTTGGTAGAGAAGCTGCATGACTGCATAGCGAACGATCCCTGGAACATACGTCTACCGCTCAGCAGCCGGGCGTGCGCTTATGAGACCGACCAGCGTGAATCAGGGCGCAAAGACAACTTTTCATTACTCCCTTGAGAAACATCGAGGCTCTACTGTGGTACTGAGACTTGAGGAAACGTCCTCGTTAAACCCCGCACCCCTCTTTCCGCTTCAAGTTAACAGGCAATGTGTGTCATGCTCTTACCGAATATGCAAAGATAACCGGTAACGCCTACCAATAAACACTCTATCGGTGGTGCATCAAGATGCAGGTGACCATTGTTATCCCAGTAGATTTGTCCATTTGTCCTTGTAGTGCTATGTATTCGCTATCGTACTCATTTGAAACTTTATATATGAACTGTCATGAATCACAGCCCAGGGGCAGACCAGGAGTAAACTCAGCGCAGCACACAAAGGCTGGAGTAGCTGATTGAAATTAGCCAAACAAATTTCAAATGTGTGTGGTACCTAGATACTACCCATGGGACGATTTACATCGGGCATGCTGCTGTGCAAGTGGAAGTCCCTGGAATACTAGGGGGTCATTCTCGGTGTCAGAGATAGTGCGCCCATCTTGTATGTTGGAACACGCAGCCTTGCTTAGTGGTCGCAGTGTACAAAGTGGCAACCAGTGTTTGTCTTCGACAGGACCTCGAGATCTCAAGACATTAGGCATGATGTCGTACAAGTCAGGGACTGCACACGTACACGAGCCTGATGGCTCTTACTAGCGCTGGCAGAACCGCGTGTTACCCGACTCCTTTCGTGCTCAGTATTGTCTTTTGATACTGTTTGGTGGCATGAGTCTCGTGTCCGGCGTCACGCCTTTACTGTCAACCGTACGACCAAGTCGTTGGGTCACAATGTTCCGAAATTTCCAACCGGTTTCATGTTGTGTTCTTTTTGGATGATTTTCATTCCAAATTCTGAGGCTAGTTTTACTCGCATCGGTGACTTCTCTATCTTGTTCTTGCACACTACCGAAAACCTATATTGCACTTACTAAGGTCGGCTGTTGAAGCCATCCAGCTGACCTTCTTCTGATGCGTGTCTGAGCCGGCTGCATTGCATGAAATCTGCACCTGATGGACGCCACGCCAGGTGTGAAATGCTTGCGCATCGGAAGCTGGCATATGTGACTGGTATCGGTCAAGTCCAGATTAGGAAGGCGATATTTCTGATGCGTTATCTTTGGGCTATCGAAAGGATGCCTGCCGTGTCTCCGGGCTTTCGAATTGGTTATTGTTCAACTTTGTTAGCGAAACGAGATGTATTTGTTTCTCCCGGCTGAAATAATTTCCAGGGAATTGTGCAAGCACACATGTTCATTCGCACACTTCAGCCTTTTGGATCTAGATATATACATATGTATATATATATTGAAGAAATTCAAATCACCAGAAGTTGAGAATGGAGCAGCTCATTATTTGAGTAGAGGGCTTCAAACCAAGCAGCAAATCCAGTATCGGGTGAGTACTTCGAGGCAGTATATGATATCAGATAGAAATCAGGGACTACGAATACCAGTGAGTTCTAACGTATTGATTTGGAGACACAAGGCAGGCGTACAGAGTATAAACTCTCCTTATCCCAACCCAAAAAAAGAGATACAAAGGACCCGCAACCGCCGACAGGGACAAGCGGAAAGAGAAGCAAGCAGGTATGAGCACAGGAGTGCAGGCGATTATACAAATACATGATTACATACTTATGTGATCTAGTATTGATACTGCAACCAGAATGCTCTGTAGGAAGCTCTCATGTGTTGCTTCTCGGATGGACGTTGAACACGCTGTCAATTACCTTCAATTCTCTATCAGAGACTCAAGAAAATCTCTGGAGATAACAATGATACTCCTTCTGATTCCGGGGAAAGTGGTCCACAGTATCTAACTCGTTGTCGAGGGAAAGTGTAAGGCTGTCGGATTGGCGAAGAATAAAATGTCAGGCTTGTAGTAACATATTTTCGAGTGGTCCAGTTTCCTTCCTCAGTGTATGTGGATGTTTTGGGATAGTCGAGCTGAAAGAAGGAGAAGAATCAAGTCTGATGATGGCTTTCGCTGACGAAACCATGACACGGAGTCATGAGTGGATATAATTTGAGTACTTGGGTGGTTAATTTGACATCAGTATGTTGGATTAGGGTCGATTAGATACTTCGGAAGCAGCCACTTAGACCTATATTTAGCGTACTCAACTCGACTCAACTCAACTCAGAGTACTGCTTGCTAATTACACGAATTCTTTGTAGAGATTTAGTACGTAGTATTTCACTTACCGCTTTCAACTATAAATTATATCGTAGACTGTTACGTAAATATTACCCTACAAAGCTCGATACTAGACTAAAATTTCAAAATTTATCCTACTCTTCCATCTTATTATGTAAAGTTATTTTTTCAACATCCTCCTCTGTGTTTAATTTATACTGATTTATTCTACTCAACATACTCTGAGTGTACTCTGAGTACCAAATCCAATTACTCTACTCAAATCTAAAACTAGCTTACTCAACTCAACTCAACTCAACTTACAATTACTAAAAGTAAGTGTCACTAGGCTGTGCGGGATTCATTTATCGTCACAGTAAAGAACAAGACTGCAGGAAGTTTACTACGTCGTTATGTGTGCGTATAACTGCTAATCAAAAGATTGCTAGAATTGGGAATCGTTGTTCGACAATAAACAAGGACTTAACGTGACGACAGAGGTTCTGCGATGAAAAGCAATGGTGAGCCTCCAGCTGTTCTGTTGCGTCTGAAGAGAATGACTTCACTACTATGTATCATGATCTAAGCTGCTTCAGAGACCCACCTGGGTATATCGACAGATTGAGAGCAGCCAATAAATTACAATAGGCAATGGAGACATGAGTCTTTTTCCTTAACAAAAGTTATCAGGAAATTATTGGACTTGCGATTGAGGAGCACTCTTGATATAATCACGAGCTATTCCTGCGTACATGGACTGCTTATATTCTCGGATAGAATAATTGCCTAGGAGCAAGAACGCTTCGACGGATCTCCAGGATGAGACCAAGACTATCGAGGAGATAGATGCTTTGCAAGTATTATGTCGGAAGTGACCGCCCGCGGTTCAGCACAGCGAGAGCCCTGAGCAGAATCAAAAAGATAATTTCACTTGAATTTATTCCAAGTGATATGGAGTTGCAACATAAGTCATTGGAAAAACAGGATGGAGTCGAGACTAGATCACCTCATGACAAGTTTGAAGCCATATCATAATGTTCTATTAATTGCTACGAGCCCTTGTCACTTCGAAAGGCTTATTTCTTCAGCTAAAACCTGCATGTGCAAGCCACCAGTGAGCTTGGGCACACAATAACTCTCAGAAGAAGACACATGGTGATCATTGATATGTTGATCATTGGCAAGTAATAATAACACGTCGAGTGCTCTCTGATACGAGTTTTATTACGAAACAGCATATTGACACTCCTCTCGCAACTACATATACGTCAGGATATCTTAGAATCCTCCGCTTCCGATGTAGGGCACTTCCCGTCCTCCTTTCCAAATGTTCCGTGCCTGTCTAACCTGAATCATGTAGTACACAAGTATAGTGCTCACATTACACGGCATTTCACCCACTTTAGACCGCTTAATCCTCTCCGAGCCGGCGCCATAACCTCCAGATATGATTTTGGTGATACAATATTAAATAACTCACCCCCATGCATAGTCTCTCATCCATTAGAGAATTCGGGCGATTGGTTTAGTGGTATAATACCTCTTTGTACGTCTACAAGTGATCTACCCGTGACGCTAAATGCTAATCCTTACTAGAGCATAGAATGATGCGTTCATTCATATGTAGAGGTGGTCCAGGGTTCGATTCCCTGATCGTCCACTGCTTTTTGATCACTATCATAATGATTTTTTTTATCTTTTCGCTTTGATAAATAGACTAACCCATTTATTTCTGTTATTCTTCAAGTTTAGCATTATTTCTAACCTATGTATCCGCCCATTTCTTCTCTGTTATGAATGTACGATTTTATTCTTCGCATGTGTGAGGAGAGGGATATCAGGGCTCGCTTAGCCGAGCTTAAGAAAACCTAAATTGCAACCCCACCTGCGACATTGTCTGATGAGATTTCTTCCTCCTTACTATCATTTTGTACTACTTTCGGGGATTACTCAAATCGCAGAGAGGCAAACTCTAGATCATCTCATCTGCAAATACTGAAATTGGGTAGCAAACGTCGAGCTGAAGAATATTCGTAAAAGAATGGCAGTTCCGAGCAACTACCTATGCGAAGTGTCCGTGGTATGATGCAACAGCCGGCTTATTCCCGAGCTTTTTGGAGGTGGACCGGCAATTAGTTGCTACACTGTTGGCAACCAAGGGTTGCCTTAAACAGTCGTCAAGGTCGTTATGTTTGGCGACTATTATCTTGATCTTGATCATACAGTAACTGGTAAATGATACAAGAATGTTTGAGCTGCTATCACGCCTGCGCTTGCCGTGACTAGGCACATTGGTCTCCGGCCAAGCGACTTGGGAACTTCGTCTTATTGTCAACGAGTAAAGTTATCAATGATTTTGACATTAACTTTTAATTTCAGGCAATGTCTCATAATACTTTCGCAACTTCAACGCTGCTTTGTCATCGTGACCTATATGTTTTGGTCCTTGGTCAGTCACCGACCACTGCTGTTGGCCCAACGCCCTTTCCCACCAAAAGTCACTTGTATTACCAGCCTGCATCACAACACTCGCCGGCTAATAATGAAACCATTTATTATTCTCTCCTAGAAATCTTTAGTCGTGGTAACTCTATCGATTTGAGAACAAATCGAGATAAGGAGTCGTAGAGCTATAGGGCATCTAAAACAAGGAAATCGCTGAATTCTGGTTTCGCTGATAAATTAAGCGAATATCGCCCTAAGATTCCTAACCTTTCATTCGATCAGTAATATATTAATAGACGTATACACCCTAAGGATCACTAGAATATATGAATGTGAGGTAACTGTTTCGAGGCTATAATGTGATATAATCATTTGTTCACGCGATGTGTAGTTGTATCAATCTCTTCAAGTGTTGAGACGACAGCAGTGGTTTGTAGCCCCAGCAAGGTCATGCTTCGCTGGTGAAGAATTAGATTCGCCTTGTGCTGTCAACATACTCTCCCTCGTAATCTTCTAGAAATCATTTCAAATTCGATCCCTCCCAAAATTCTGCTGCGATACAAACACCAGTATACCATAATCTAGAAGGATGTCATGACTCCAAACACCAACCTCGACGGCTCGATCACCTACTGCTTAGGCCTATTGTATATGGCCTGACGAAGGTGAATCGGAAATTTGGAAGCAATCGAGCCAGCTGGCGAAAGTCACTGTATTATGTCTCCGTTGTTTGCCGTCTATAAGCTGAACCCAGTACAAGTGTAGCAAATCTCATTTCTTCAAACCGTACAGCTCATAGCGAGCAATCTTGTTCTGCCACGCTGAGCTATCTCTTCTTCAGCGTTCAAGAGGATGAATGAATATTTTACTAAATGACCTCATTCTGCTACCTACTTTCTTACCAAATCCTAAGATCAAAGCATGCAATCCTTGGATCTCCTAGTCCAAAAGCCGGGCCAGGAAAAGTTGTGATAAGGAGGTATCAAAAGCCGCACAACATCTGCGTTAAAAACGTCAATGCCTCTGGTATTAAGGTGCGATCTTATTGAGGACCTCAGAGTTCACTTGAATATTGTCGAGGGAGAAATGTTACAGGGTCCTACCCGCCTTGTCTAGATACAATCATGATGTAATAGGGAAATTCTCCCTTTGTGAATAGATAACGTGCTGACAAATAAGAAATGCTCAGCGCCATGGTATTGAGAAAACTGTTGTCATTGGCTTCTTCATTGCCATTTCAACCTATTTTCTACTCGCTTTCCCTTGATGTCGATTACAGTTCCAGCACAGCGGCATATCCATCCCGAGCCGTTCTCAATGCTACAGTTCATCCTTTTGCCTCCAGTCCAAATCCTAACCTCTCTCTATAGTTTCTTAGGATATGAATATATAACTCCCTTAACCTAGCCTAATCTTGACGAGTTAATGCAGATTATCTGAAATTAGCTTACTATTCTTCTGATCTTTATACACGTGCACCCAGAGAATAAGGAATGAAAAGTCTCGACTATATCGTAGTGAAAAGTGGAAGCTTGATCGGAACCTGGGCACGATTTCAGGACAGGCTGATAGGCAATGCCTAATCGGAGGTAATTGATGATTTTATGGGTGAGTATTCAATACGAGCAGATGAGAATAATATATGGACGCTAAGTATTGGTAGAACTATACTTCTTGCTCTCTCCACTTAGCACGATCTATTGCCTCGAACTTGAGGGCAAATTTGTCATCTCCAGACAATCTGCTTCCGATCCATCTTACTAATTCATTCAGCTCCAACAAGCCTCCACCTATCCCGTCAAAAGATGTATAAAAGCTCAGCTCACCAACATCCAGTGTATGACAAAAAAGGGAAAAATCGCACTAAGGCCCTCCTTCATCTGTTAGAACTGCCCTTCAGTCCTCGAACTATGAACACAAAGTCCACGATTCTATATCAATCTTCAAAAAGGAAGAAAATTGGTCCGGAAAACCCGCCTCCCTATTTGCAAGCAAGAATGATATCCTCACTCCCTTTCTCGCCAGGAAAAAAAAAGAAGGGGGAAAGACGACGATGTTCCGGAATCGATGATACTAGTCGTGAAAATATCACTGGACATTATCTCAATTACTAGATGGGTGTTGAAAGTCGCTGAACTTATGATGACTGCACTAGGAAATTTGATTTGCACACATACTCTCTCTCTTTCTCTCTCTATGACGTTCAAATCACTCCACCCAAGACGATTTGAATAATGTGCCTAGCCTAGTCTCGCATTCTCCATCACTTATCTACTGACCCATCCACCATCGAAGCAACCTCCCTCCCTCCTCTTTCCATACACACAAACCCGCTCCCCCTTATTATTTACTCCTCACAACGTACCACCACAAATATCCCAAATCAAGCAACACCCACTCCCAGAATTTGCTTCACTACCATCCCAAATCTCTTCCAATATTGCCCCCCTCCCCCCTCTCAAAACCAAGAACCCATCAAAAGACAAGAGAAATCACGAAATCCCCACTCTCACTCATCCCAGTGCAGTATCTGTCTTTCGTTACAATACTCCGAAAAAACTCCTTCCCTACCACCCTACCTATACCCCGAAGCTTCTCCCTTCGTCATGACCCTGCCTACACAAACCTTGAAGTATCAGATATCTTCTCTCTTCCACAGTTCATTTCCTTCCCAAGCCTTTCTGCACGTTGTAGAGAGAAGAAAAGGCATCGATGTATCATCTGCGGCCACTTACGGTACAAGCATATTCCGAACGTTCTTGCGTAACATCCTCCTCACCCTCAATCTGTCAGAGAACGAAGAAAAAGAGAGAAAGGTCATCAAGAAAGAAAAAGCCAGAGCGGTGAGTGAGCTCGTCAACTTACCTTCATACCTACCCCCATCAAGCAAGCAAGCATGACCGACTAACTTACTTTAGACCAACAAATCTCGTCTTTCTTGCCCTACATTTATTTATATTTTCCTTCCTCGACTAACGATCGACCTTGTGTGTGATCTCTCCTTGAATCCCAAATACGCCTATATACCTACCCACTAACCTAACAATCTACTCACCCATCTACCTAGCCAGTTCTCCGCCGCTGGTCCAGAGATGAGTGAAATTCAAAAGACCCTCTCTTCCTCCCTCCCTGGCTCAGTAGCGAGGACTCGAATACTTGGATCGATCGATCCACTTCCTCTCTTCCTTCCTTCCTTCCTTTTTTCCTTCCCTCCTTCCTTCCCCCCCTTTCTCTGCAGTGAGGAGAGAGAAGCCAGAGACGCATGTTGTACATGGATTATACACTTCAAAGTTGACCCGACCTGGTTAGACACACTTACGATATCAAGAGAAGGAAGGAGGGAAGGAAGACATCTAACTGCTATCTCCTTCCTATGCGAAGAAAGACAGACCATAATCGTACAGGAAGATTTCCAGGAGGTCTTTTGATTTCGATGACTGGATTGGAGTACTTGATTGGCTTTATAGACAAACACATAGAAAATTCGACTATTCATTCTCTTCTCTAGCACCTCTATACAGCTGTGTGGGTGTCTCTGCTTCTTCCATGCTCGGTTCTAACTATTTGGCCATCCATCAACGTGTAAACATCCACGCCTTTCCAAGCAATTGAACTGAGGCAAACTCCCCATCATCTCGATTCATTAACGATTATCAATTACCCCATTCCGCTCTCTTTACTCCTTGTTGGGCACCAAAGGAAAACATAGAACCTAGTCTATAAGCGAATGAGGTACCGTAATATTTTAACGTCTGCCAATGCAGAATCGCATAGCAACGCAAGACACGACACAGAGCATGAATCGAAGGAATGAGAATAAAATGAAATTGGTTCTCTCTCTCTAATGTTCCCTTCCACGCCAACCAAACAAATAAAGTACTAGAATAGGCAACGTTGGCAGCAGTAAAGGGTATTTTGCGCGTGCGCATGTGCCGCTTGAAAAAGGACAAACATGGATATAACAACCCTCGAGAGGTAAACAAGGCAGCGCAGAGCAGGTAGGTAATGTACAGAAGTTGGCCGGTTCATCATGGCATCCGAGCCATGTGTCTTACAACCTCAATCGTAATACAAGGCTGATCAAGATACAAAGCCGAAAGGGGTGTCGTGATAGATCACCTGAGTGGCTGCTTGACATCTTGAACACCATTTGCAATAACCTCTCTCAAAGACCAACGAGGTGGTGTGACCACGCCTTGTAAACCATTTGCTTTG